CTGACTGTTGGCGGCAATAAGCGGAAGCGACCGACTGTGCCCAAGACCATTTGGAAGTTACCGTCCGGGGCCCCTGTGATTCCTCAGGTTGTGCTTAACTCGGTTGTGGCCTCACTGCAGCGCTTCGGGGTTCGCCAAAGAAAACAGTATGCTGAGGATGCTTGCAAATACTGGACGCTGAAACGAGAAGCCAGGCGGGGAGCCGCACTTCTGAAACGTTTGCAACTCCAGCTGGAAACCTTCTCGTCGATGGAGATGACTAGGAGGGACTATGTTGCTATGGGAGTCCCTGGGAGCAAGAGACTACAAAGACGTATTGAGTTTGGTGAGAGACTCTATCATGATTTGGATCGATTGAGGATGCTGTGTGATGAAGTGAAGAACCGCGAGAGGGAGAAGTTAAAGGACGTGGAGACGCTTAAAAGCATTGTTGACACTGTCTACTTCCCGATCTTCCCTCTGCTCTGGCCAATATTCGAAAAAGCTCAAGTGTAAGCATGATTCTTCTACTTTACCTTACGTGGTCTAACATCGCGGCAGGCTTGATGGCAAAGGTATCTTTCGACAAGGCCTGGCGTCTATTCGAACTAAGCTGCAAGAACGGTTCTATCCGTCGGTCGCTACCTTCTCCGCTGACCTGGCTCATGTCTTCACTACGGAGATTGGAGTCCAACCGGCTGGAGATACGGCTGAGCTTCAGATGCAGATTAGTGGTCGTGCACCGGAACTCAGTCTAGAGCAACGCGAGAAGAGAAAGCTTGCCAAGCGGATAATCAAGGCCATTCAGCCTTCTCTAGAAGATGCGATCAGGAAGGAGAGCGAATTAAACCGCAAGCCGTTTGAACAGGAGCTCAAGGAGCTCGATCTCATGCTAGAGAATAGTGTCATGTCCAGGCGGGGCTCCGAAGTTGATGCGCCAGAAACAGTTAACGATGAACAAGCATTTGCGGTACCAAATGGTACAGAGCAGAAGGTTGAGGAAATGGACGTGCTTGCTAAATCCGAGCCTGAAGATAGTGCTGGTGTTGCTGACGTGCCTGGGAACACAGCTACAACAGCTGAGCCTAGTGCGGCCGAATCCCAACCCGCAGAGGCATCTACCGAGCCTCAAGTACAGAAGGACACGAACATGGAGGATGCACCCGCTGATATGCAGGATACAGAGCCTCAAAGCGCAGATGTGGCGCCCACAGTTGTACAGCCTACAATTGAAAATCAACCATCTGTCCCTGATCAAAACGGAAATCTGGAGAAAGAAAGTGTTGAGCCATCCAAGCCACCAGTGGAGACCCAAAATGGGCCGTTGACGCCCCCACCCAGTTTCAAAGGTGATCAACAATACCCGTTGGCGCAAGGAGGCATCCAGTGGTATATGCAACCGTTCGATCCCATTGGTACCACCATCCACGAGGAGCGGTGGACCGGGCGAGATGTGATGCGAGGGATGAGCGAGGAGCTCAGTGAGCTAGACGAGGAGGAACTAAAAGACCTGGTTGAAGATGAAGAGCTGGAAGGACAGATGGTCAATGGATCGAACGAAGCAGCAAATGGAGGCGATGCACCGACGCAACAGAGCGTTAAGGTACATCGAACTCGACGACGCTGGCGCGGATTCAGGTAGTTAGACGTACAGATGGCGGAGATATCATCATTGGTTTTGAGCGAACATCCCCTACACACCTACACATCATTTCTTTCTTTGCGTTACCCGGATTTCCCCTTTCTGCATGTTTGCTTTTCTTTCCTTGACTCCCTACTACTGCTGCTGTTGCTGCTGAGGGAAACAAACATAGGCTGGCCAGGCGTTGGGTAGGTCAGAAACTGGGAATTTGGTGGATCAGGACAGTAGCCATTCTCAGGTAATGAACTTTACAGAATGTAATCATGTCAATTCGCATTAAATGCGCATACTATTGTAGAGATCTATAGCCTCACTCCATAGTGTGGAACAGTATTGAATGGCTGGTATGGAGAACGGCCTTGGCACGACGGCAGAGCCGCGGGCGGTCCAGAATGGCTTATGGAAGACTCGCCGCGCTCGACTTTCTTTCCCGGTTTCTCCCCCTTCTTTCATCATCACCACCGATTTCCATCTCTTCCTCCATCCATCCTTTTTGCCTTCCTCCCTTATCCCCCTTCTTCTCCTCTTCTTTCTAACCTCTCGGAAATCAGAGCCATCTTAGCTTCCTGGCTTTCTGATATCCGCGTCGGATAGCTATCGGGTTCGGTTGTTGAATTTTTCTGCCTCTCACTAGCACTTTCCTCGGTCTGCGTCGCGCGCGCGCCTTCTCATCCCTTTTCACCTCACTCAGCTCTCTCATTCGTCTTTTCGATTTCCGTCATTATGGCTACAGAGTACGATAACGAAAACGGTCGCTACGACGGTATGTCAACCGGTCATCTTGCCTCGCCAGCTCAGCTGATCTCCCCGGTAACATCATCACAACAATGCTGACTTGCTGCTGCTCAGACGAGCCCCGTTTCGCTCGCGACCGCAGCGCATCTCCTCGCGATGAGCCTCGTGCTGATCGCACCCGTAGCCGTTCTCCCAACGGTCGCGTCGATGATCGGTATGTTTACGTGCAGAGCTGGCTAGCTAGCTAGCTAGCCGTCCCCCAGACACCAGCCAGACTGACTGGAGCTTCTTTCTAATAGCGCCCCCATTGATCCCCGCAAGAATCTCGATGACGAGGAGGGTGCTATCAACACTGGATCCAACCTGTTCGTCACTGGTATCCACCCCCGTCTGACCGAGTCGGATATTTCGCGTCTGTTCGAGAAGTACGGTGATGTCGAGAACTGCTCGATCATGGTCGACCCCCACACCAAGGAGTCTCGTGGATTCGGTTTCGTCAAGATGGTTACTGCCGAACAGGCCGATGCCGCTAAGGAGGGTCTCCAGGGCGAGGTCATTGAAGGCCGCACTCTGAGCATCGAGAAGGCTCGCCGTAGCCGTCCCAGAACCCCGACTCCCGGAAAGTACTTTGGTCCTCCCAAGCGTGGTTAGTTATTGTCCAGACTCCCTCTGTATATTGATATGTGGCTTATGCGTGTTCAATTTTGTTAGATTTCCGTGGAGGTCACCGTGGCGGCCGTGGCGATCGCTATGATGATCGTCGTGGTCCTTATGGTGGTAGCTGGCGCCGTGGTGACGACTACCGCTATGGCCGCTATGACTCCTACAGCGACCGCCGCGACTATGGTGGTCGTGACTACCGTGACTACGGTGGCCGCCGTGACTACCGTGATGACTATGGTTACCGCGGTGGTGGCAGCAGCGGTGGCATTGATCGCTATGCTTCCGGTGGCCGCGAGGACCGTTACAGCCGCGACGACCGTCGTGACGACCGCCGTGAGGAGCGTCGTGGCGGCAGCGGTGGTGGCTACTATGACCGCGATGCTAACCCCCCGAGTTACGGCTCCGCAGCTCCTGCTCGTGATGCCTACGCAGGCGGCGGCGGTAGCAGCGCTGGCGGTGGCGGCCGTTCCTATGACCCCCGTGACGACCGTTACAGCACTAGGTAGGTGAAGATTTGACTGATCTGGACGGTCGGAACAGGGCCCAGAGCACGTAATCTCGTCCAGTGATGGGTCCGTTTAGCCTCCGCGCTTCTTTCAATTTTTTCTCCCCACACCTTTTGTTTTCTGTGACATTCCCTTACTTACCCTATGTCCTGGAATGGTTTTTAATTCCCAATACCCCCATTCGAATGGAATTGCGCTCAACGGGCTACGGTGGGGCGTCATCTGTTGTCTTGTCGAAAATGGAGAGAAGAAGTCTTCATCGCATTCACATGTCATCCGGCGAAACCGACATGTCACCGTTTATGCGACCAGTCGATCTTCGAAAGAGAAAAGAAAAACCAAGGGAAAAAATAAGAAGAAAAAAAGAAAAGGAGAGTCCTATGTGGTGTCGTCGGCACTCCTCACACGCTGATGTTTTCTTTTGTTAAATTCGCTCGCAACACCGGAATATTTGGCGGCATGGGAAAGAACAAGAACTTTAACGTTGTAATTCCTCGGATTGTCAGATGGGTTCAGCACACTGCTACATTTCACTCTTCAACCCTTCCGGAAACTTGGTCGTTATCTCGCTAGTCAGCTGTTCGCCTTTGTTTGCGTCTTTGCGTCTTATACAACTCATCTTAACGTAACGACTTTCGATTGTATTCGGCCAGAAGCTTCCATAAATCTGCTCAGCCTGCAGAGGCTATTGCTTACGCCCTGGATCCCGCTCTCTGCCCCCGGCGGTCTGCAGGGAGGTCGACCAGTGTCGCGCGGCACCAGTTCGCCATAGCGTTTGCGTTGTAGTATCGCCAGGGGAAGAAGTCCAATTCTCGCAATAGAGCCAATCCGATGGCAGCAGCAAACAAGTGGACCCTGTAATTCCGGGCGTCGGTACTTTTTCTCCCCCGGTGCAATCGATAATCCGGCCATATGGAAGGGGTGGGGATTGAGGTAGGTTCGATCGGTCTGAGACTGATTGGAAATATGAATATCAGAATGCTACTATGCTCTGATTGACCTAGGTTGAGAGCAGGGGACATCTACGGGTGTCTCTTGTCCTTTTTCTTCTTTATCTTTCCTCTCCGTTTCTTTCCCACCATCATCTCATAATGGCTAACTGCAGGGCAGCATGCTTGATATCTGTTGTTGCATAGATATTTCCGTTGCGTTTGGGACTAGGGAATAAATTCGTTCTGTTTCAGATTGGTTCTCGCTGTGCTCCCTTGTAGCATTCCATACCTTACATGGAGAATTTGAACCCTCGTTTGGGGCGTAGAGAGAATATAGACGTGTAAGCAAGAGTCTTATCCGATGTCTAGTATCTAGGTAACATGCAGTCTCCAGTGACCGCCCTACCCACAAGCACACCCGTGCCTAATATTTCCAAGACAACAGATATTTAGCCACCAAGCTAATCGTACACTTCCATCCAAATCATATCCTCATAGCCGCATTATCTCCACCCCATTGAGCCAAATAGATAGCACCATACAATCGAGGATACACTCACTCACTGCCCCAAGAAATGAGAACCCATAGCTAGCGAGCAAGCAACTCCCCCGTATGTCTAAGCTATCCAAAACCCAACGATTCGGTCTATCTTTGTGGGGGTGCGTATCAGACTGAACGACTAGAGTAGGCTAGACCAGATCAGCATCCATCCATCATCTCCTCCTTGTTGCTCTTATGTAGATGAGATGAACCTTGAAAGTAGTCTCTTCACGTACAGCAGCACATATTGATGTTTTTATGTTTGCGTCCACTGAAATCTGAGCCAGCCTTTATTCCACCTTAGATAGTATGGGATGGTGGTAAGAGCTCGTTGATCGTCTCGTGTAACACATCACGGATCAGCACCAATGGTCGATTGAACAAGAACGTCTACTCGGGAGTCTTCGAAACACCCTGCTGTTCGATTTCATTGCTCTTCTGGATGAGGTATTCGCCGAGGACGCGGAGGGGGTTGGGTGGTCTATCATCATGTTATAGACACCGTTAGCTCGCATCCTTACTAGGATCTTCACTTGGATCGGATACAATCAGGAGGTATCATGGTATACGCACTGCTCCTTCGCAACGACCGTCATCCCATCAAGAAGATGCGGCACAATCTTCTCATTCATGTATCTTCTAATCGGGGCGCCGCCGGGACGCACTTGGGTGGTGGTGGTGGTGGTGGTGGCGGAGGGAGTTGCAGCGGCGGAGTCGGCACCGGGGGTGTTTGCAGCAGAGTCGGAAGCCATGATTTTGTCTTTTTCGGGGTTAAGATGTGGGTGTGGTTGTGGTTGTGGTTGTGATGATGGTTGTTGGTTTTGGGGAGGGAAGGGAGTGGTGGTAGTAGAAGTAGTAGATGGTGGTGGTGGAGGATTAGGTTGAGGTTGGGGTTCGGATGTTCTTGCTGTTGCCTGCTGGAGGAGGAGACAATTTTAGTGAATGAAAGAAAGTGGTTGAACAATGAGAATAAATAGAATTGTAAATGTCAATTGAGGTGCATTTGGTTAATGGGAGACAAATTTAAGAAATTCAAGACAGAAGTAAAACAAAAGCGGAGCAAGTTGTTGCAACTGCTCCGCCTGTGGGGATCGCGACGGAGAGTTGTACTGTGCTGTGTGGTTCCTGGCAGTTCTGGGTTGTTTCTTACCGCGTTGTCATCGGCCATGGTTTTATATTTGTCTGGAACTAATATGCTTGTAATTTCGATATGATATTTGAGAGATGTGGGATTATATTCGATGATGAAATTGGCCCTGCTGACTGCATGTGCTTCATCTCGTGCTTCGCAACATCAGCATCAGTGCAAACAGTGCAAAGTAGACATGATGCTTGTCCGAATCGAGATATAGTGGTCAGGTGACTTCGTGTCTTTCCGCGTCACGTTCTTTTCCTGTAACGAAAGATGCCGCTGGAGAGGCTATCATTGCAGACTATGTGGTAGTAACTGCTGCTCGGGCTGCAGCATGTCCCTGCTGCACTACTGGGACACTTTTCGTCCTTCCGCAAAGCGCATGAAAACCACCAAGGAAGAGACTGACACCGGCGATGAGAAAGACACTCCCGACTCGTCTGATAGTCCGCTGATAAAGTCCTCTGAAACACCGCTGCCGGAGCGACTAGATTACAATCCAATTCCTGTTGAAGCTGGGTTTGGGGCTGCTGGAGATGACTCCGAAGTACCACCAAACAGCCAAACCGAACTCGAGTCCTCCCTGCCTGCCATCCAGGCAGACAATCGCGCAATCGAGGAATATGAAGCTTCGCGCGCAGCTGACGACGAGAAGGAGCCGGACCTCCGGCAGAGATTGAGGGATGGTACATGGCGGAAGGGTCGGAGTTCTATCTACGTGGATGCGTTCAATCTGGCACTGGAGACTGTGCTGGATGAGGAGGCGCATCTCTTTGATAAGGCGGAGATGGAAGTGTTCAGGCAGTGGCGAGAACTGGACTATGAGTCTCAGTATTTGTATGTCTACCTGGGTCATACTTGTAAAATTTTTGAAGCTGATTGTGTAGGTATGTGCGTCTATTCCTCCGCAAGACCTCTGCCTGGCACCGCGTTAATCGGCTAGGCTACTACTCGGATATTGCGGACATGCCTCGAGTTGTAGCTGAACTGCGCCGCGCTCGCAATCTTCCATCGACATCTGAGGATGGGAATTCCACAGATGGCACCGTCCCTGTCGATACGAGCTCCGTCTTGGGTCAAGATGGCGAGTTCAAATTCGCCGAGGAAATGGATCAGATTACCACGCTGGAAGAAGCGTCCTCGCTCTTATTACTCGACGAGTTGAAAACGCTCGCCAGAGACGCCAAAGTAACGGGAAAGAGTAAGAAAGAGCTCATAACCGCTCTACAACGATCAAGTCAGAAACAGACGGGCCTCGATTGGAACAGTAAATCCAACGGCAACAACAGAGACGACCACTTCATCCAGAAGATCCTCGACTACACCGGCGACTGCATCCGACTGGCCTCCGGCCCTCGTGCTCTATTCGAACGAGTCCATCTAGTCTTCTATCGGTCCACCGAATGGACCGAGAAATCACTCACTACCATCATCTTAGCCAAGATCTCCCGCAGAAACTTCCCAGAATACGTAGTCTGTCGAACCAACTCCATCTTCCCCTCGCGGGAGATCCTCCTAGAATTCGAATCCGCCCTGCGCACTCAATACCAAATCGACAACCTCCTCGAGTTCAACGGCACTCCCACCGTCGAACTGCTAACCCAGGTCAAAGACCTCGCCTACAAAGTCTATCCCCGGTGGAAAACCCTCCTCCACCAAGAACAACAAAAAGAAGACACCATCTACGATTACAATGAAGGCGCCTACCTCCGCCGTTTCTCCCCAGCATGGGTATACACTCGCATCATCCACAAAGGCCTCCACCCCCTGGGCCGCTTCAAAGAGCACGAAGAGGAGCACCGTCTCCTCTCCGAACTCCTAACCCAGCGCCTCTTCCACGCCGCCCGCCGCGGCGCATGGTACCAGCGCAAAGCCCTCCTCGAAGAACACTACCTCTGGGCACTGAAACCCTCCGAAGGACGCAGCGAAGAAGTCCAGCGCAAGCACTGGCGCCGCATCGCCCTCCAAACCTGTGAAACAGGCCTGCAGGACCCAGACTGCCATCTCATCTACCACTATGACCTCCAAAAACGTATCACCAAGCTCGAAAGAGCCCTCAAGGTCGTGAAACGCGAACAGCACGACTTCGGGCACGTCAGACTGGCCAAACCCGCGGAACGCACGATCGAGGGTATCCAGATCGAGCGTGATGAGCCAACCCAAACCCAACCCTCAACCCCAGCTGACACCGCCACCACCCCTACTATCACCACCTCCTCCAAACGCGGCCGCCCCACCATCTGGCTCGACCCCCGCGACGGCGGCGAATGCCGCGTCGAAAGCATGTGCCTAAGCTGGTACCGGGATCGTGGCTGGAAGGGCTACCACTCCGAAGGAGGCATCATCAGAACCCTGTTCACCTACCTCTTCTACGACATCCTCTACACCTACGTCCCCAACGTCTTCCAAACGCCCTTTCAAACCAGCCCGCTCGATCTCCACACCGACGCCTTCTACCCGACCCGTCTCTCACAGATAAACCACCGGCTGGTGGAAATCACCAACGGCGAGTCGGAGCGGCTGATTCGCGCTGTCTATGCGGAGCAATCCCCGCGCCAGACGTGCGCGATTGGCCTCGATTGGTCCTTTGAGTTGGATGATTTGGTTCAGATCGTTAGATGTTTTCCCGGTGAGGCCCTCGCCGCTGTTTGTAGGGTCGTTGCCCAGGAGTATCAGGCTCGTGGGGGTGGGGTGCCGGATTTGTTGGTTTGGAGGGTGTATGATGGGGAGGAGGGTAAGAGTGATGGTGATGGTGATGGTAATGGTAAGGGGAAAGAAGGGTACGGAGAGGTGATGTTCGTGGAAGTCAAGTCGGCGAATGATCGGTTGAGTGATTCGCAGAGATTATGGATTCATGTATTGGCGAGTGCGGGGGTGAGGGTGGAGGTTTGTAATGTTGTTGCTAAGGAGGTTATACGGTCGTGACATATATGATATATATGTACAGTGCTACGTATATATATACTACGTATATAGAAGATGGGAAAGATACATACATCTACTACAGTAAACATCTACGATAATTGAAAAGAGAAAGATAGGTGTGTGGTCATAAATTTTTATTTCATGACTATCGACGGAATCAACCCTTTCCAGATCGACCCAATCAACCACAACGACAGCCACTTCACCACAACAACTTCTAACCCCGCACAAAGAAGATGTGCACGCGCTTAAGCGACGAGGGTGGAAGCAGTGGCGGACTCGTAACGCCAGGTGGGGGGGAGGACACCGACGGACTTGTAGTAACGAGACAGACGGTGGATACGAGACTCGATGAGAATCAGGCGGAACTTGCTGTCCTTGTCCTTGCGGTTACGCTCAAGGTGCTTGCGGACGGCGACGGCCTAAACCAATATTTATTAGCATCTCGTTTGATATGGTTGGAAAGGGGAAATGGGGGTGACATACCTTCTTGATGAGGTGGTACAGGTCCTCGGGGAGCTCGGGGGCAAGGCCTGTTGTAAAAATCACTCTGTCAGCCTGTGGTTTGACCAAGCAGAGGCATACGGGATCACGCAAAAGGAAACTTCTAACTTCCCAACTGCATTTCTGCGAGATTGTGGGGTTGGAAGTTTGACTTCTGGTGCCCTCCAGTTTTATGGACATGTTGTGGTATGTGTGTGTGGTGTACAGATGGTGGGAGGCAGAGAGAGAGAGAGAGAGCCGGGATTGCTGCGATTGCGATTGCGACTGTGGGTTTGCGAGTGTGCATGTCGATACGGAGTAGAGTGCGAGAACGATTCCGGGTATGTTTCAACCTCATTCTCTTGTCCCTCTTCTTCTTCACTTTCGTGCAGAATATATATCGTATCGGTTGTCCATCAATAACTCGAATCGAATCGCCGGATATATTCCAATCCGGGTCCTGGCTGCTGCTGCTCTGCTCGCGCCCATTCCTGCCATGTTCACATCCACAAACATGCTCATGCAACTGGTGCGACTGGTGAAAGGGAATAATTTGTCGGTGGTGTCGTACCGTTGGACTTCAAGATACGGAGGATCTTGTTACCTATTCACATTCCATATATTAGTATCCTTTCCCAACCCTTGCTTTTCGAATAATCCAGAAGAGGGGCTCTTACCAGTGACAGTCTTGACCTGGGCAACACCGTGGCTGTCACGGAGGACAACACCGATCTGGGAGGGGGTAGCACCCTTCTTGGCGAGCTTGCAGATCTGCTCAACAACCTGCTCGGTGGAAGCCTTGAACCAGCTCGGGGGAGTGCGAGAGTAGGGGAGAGCGGAGGACGAAATGCCCTTTCCCTTAGAGTGAAGGCGACCCATTTTGATTGATTGGTGGTGTTGACGGGGGGTGGTTGTCGAACGGGTTGTGAGTGAGCTGGTCGAGTATCGAAAAGTTCGAGGAGGACGAGGTTATTTTTTCGTTGGGTGGATTTTGCGATCGTGGGTCACGTGGGATCCAGATTTGCTGGTATTGTTGTGGGTATGGTCATGTGATGTGGGAGTTGGGTTCGCTTATTTTTTTCTTTCCGGAGCTTTTTAAGCTCCGTTTTGACTTTTTGTGAGTCTTGGGATTTTGTTTCTTGTGGTATGCCAGTGAGCTGCTTTGAGCTGCTGCAGAGTTTATGATGCTCTGATTTCTTCAAATTTCGGCTATATGGTGATCGACTAATTGATACAGCTACATTACTGGCAAATTTGACCTTCAGGTTAGTTTTTACTCCTATGTTTTTTTTGCCCTCTGCTCTGCTTTACAGGATGAAACACACCTTACTTTTTATTTTTCTGGTACCTCTTATGTCAGAGATAGGCTTCGGTCTATCTCGATGATCTAAATGGACTTCTGATATCCTTTCATTTCGCAAAATGTTATGTCATGGGAGTTGAGACGCATAGTGCTAACTCGCATCAAGATAGGTTGCCAATTTTTTGAATCGAGGGTATTCTGGTGTCGAGAGATGGGCTTTATAGTCATATATCAATGAATTCATATTATTCAATAGAACTACGGTGTTTTCCTGCTCGTGCAGATCATGGAGTCGCGCGATCCCATATTGTAAATGTACAGGAATGTAGAGGATTGGCCAGACAATGTCTTGAGCATGCAGGCCGACGGGATATCTGCCCACTGCTATCGCTGAGAGTCCTGTCGTGC